ACACTTTGTAGACGACACAGCGTTTACTTACAACGAAAGCGCTTATTATAATCCAGAGGTAGGCGATTTTGGCTTAAAATAGGCATATAATGGCTCAAAATCGGCTTAAAATACGTCAAAAATGGCTTAAAATGACTCAAAACTGGTTTAAAATCACATAAAATGACCTAAAAATGGCTTAAAGGTGCGCAAAAATGACTTAAAATGACTCTAAAATGGCTTAAACCACCCAAAAATCGATTTTTTCAGAACAGCATGACAACTGCCAATCAACAGCAGCTCCAGGAGCAACAACACTTTGAGCCACAAATGCCACGTGGCATCAAACGCGCCGCCGCCGCCTCGGAAATCGGTCATGAGCAGCCAGAAGAGAAGAAAGTTTTCGAAGAATCTCATTAATTTTGAATTTTCCCCTAATTTTTATGTATTTTGACTCAATTTTCCCTGAAAAATTCGAATAATTTTGACCAATTTTACACTAATTTTCCATGAAATCTCGTTTTCTTGTCCCAACCGCTCAAATCCTATGTTTTTATGTATTTCTGTCGCTAATAACCCAATAACCCCTTCATTCCTGCACAATAAAATTAATTTCCAGATTTTAAAGCATCTTTTTCAGGTGTTTCAGCGAAAATCCGGCGAGAATCGACTGAAAATGAGCTGAAAATCGTTGGGAAATTCGCTGAAAAAACTAAGGTCCGCAATTGCGCGTCGCGGTGTTTGCGTCCCCCAATGCCCAACAAACGACGACGGCTGCTATCGGAGTTATTGGATTTTCTGCACTCTTTTCATAGTGTCTGAAATCTGCAAAAAATATGAAAAACTACAAAAATCAATCAATTAGATTTTTTAATATTGAAATTTATTCGTATTTATCGATTTTTGCCCCGAAAACCTCTCGTTATTTTCAAAAAAGGAGTACTGTAGGTTTTTCAGTTTTTCTAGCTGGAAAAATTGAAAAGCTTTGATTTTCGATGATTTCTAATGTTAAAAATGTTAAAAATCACTGATAATTGATATTAAATATCAGATTTTAGCCGATTTTTTCAAAAATTTTTCAAAAAAATTTTTTTTGAAAAAAATTGTTCTTATCAGTTTCTTTTTTGTCCCTATAAAAACCCTTGAAAAATCACTGATATCTCATTTGTTCCCATTTTCTTATCAATTTTCAGGCTCATTTTAACCATTTTCAGTCTTTTTTCGCTCATTTTCAGTATTACTTTGAACAATTTTCTCAGACTTTTGACCCTATGATTTTGAGCTCAAGTATCTCGCTTCTTATCACTGATATCAAAAAGTTGTCAACTAATAGAATGTTTCTGATAATATGACAAACATTTTATCAGTTGACCACTTTTTGATATCATTTACAGGAAACGAGATAAATCGGCTCAAAGTATTGTATTTCTTGCACACCCAAACCGTCTACTTTGAGCTCAATTATCTCGGTTCTTATCAATGATATCAAAAAATTGTCAACTAATAAAATGTTTCTGATAATTTGATTAACAATTTATCAGTTGACAACGTTTTGATATCTTTGGTAATAACCGAGATAACTAGACTTAAAACTTGATCAACCTTAAAGTTCATTAGAGCGCGTTTGTCAATGTTCTTGGGGCTAGTACACGTCACACCAAGAACACGTCTTTTTCATCGTCTCCAAATTCTCGTCTGTGTCCCGCAGGTAACCCTGTCTTATCTAGATGACCCCCCATCACCACCTGTCCTTTTTCTCGAATGAGAGGGGGCGGGGGGTAATGACACCCTCCTCTACCCTGCAAACTAGGCTGGGTGTTCGTCGGACCACCCAGGGATATTTTGCAGTAGAAATGGAGGAGGCGAACAAATGGTCCGGTGTGCACTAGGGAAGAAGAAGGCTAAGGAAGGAGAGGAGAGGTGTGGTACGACGGTCTACTGTCCATCGCATTCGTAAGCCATCGGACACCAGCCGATTCTTTTAAGCTCGGGGCGTCGTTCCGTAATATATTGCTATTAAATTCGTTTTCTCAAAAGAGGTTCAGTACCGGTCAATAAGATACACAAAAACTCATTTTTCAGTTGATTTTCGGACATTTTGACAATTTTTGTAACTTTCGAAACATTCGTTTGCAAATTATATAATTTGATTTTCAAAAAACGTTTTGGTTATAAAATAGACAAAATTTCCTGCAATTCTGTTTAAAAATCACATTTCTAGCGGTTCTAGGAACCGAGATAGAGCCACTTCAAGTTTAGGAGGCTAGAGACGCAGACGACGAGACACGCTGCGTCTCTAACCATGGAAACTTCAAATGACCGTATCTCGAGTTCTAGATGAGCTAGGAAGTTGATTTTTGAACAGAATTGTAGGGTTTGAAATGGGTGTTCAGATGTTTTGAGGAAATTTTGATTGGTCCATGTCCTCCCTATTTTTAAATGCGTAAAATCCTAGGAGTCAAAAAATTCGAAAATTTGAAAATCTATTGAAAAATGGTCTATTTTTGAAGTCCTACAAAAGTAGTTCAGATTTTTCCAACTCGCGTCTTCAAAAATACCGTATTCGTTTAAAATTAGGCCCATCATTGTCGAGATTTGAAGCTTATTGGGGATTTTAGATCATAACTTCTTTCAAAATCGAGATTTTTGAATGGTTTTTCATGCAACTGTCTATAAACTCCGATTTTTTGTAAATTTCAATCTTTTTGAATACCAGAAAAAGGCAACTGAAAAATAATTCTG